GCTGTTCATCGCCAAGTAAGAGAATCATCCCGGAAATATTGCGCCAACTTTTGTACAAGTCTTGTGCCTAGAAGCTCTCAGTTTTACTGTTATACATTTCAGATGTCTGTCCCGCTGGCTTACCGGCAGGCGGTGGCCCAACATCTTGTGGTGAGGACAATCCATGCAGAGACGGATATGAATGCGTTACCGCCGGTGCTTCTCAATATTGTTGCCCATCAAGAGGTATAATTTAGAGGCACCTTGAGCTAAATAACACTTCGTGGATTTGAGATTCAAGGCGCGCTTTCGGTTAGCAACGTTTTTATGATTGGTCAGTTGCATGTGATATCCAATCAATGACCGCTTTTGCGCTTACGGGAGCGCCATTGACCTGACGTCACTCTCTAGCACTGTGGCTGTTCTTGCGGAACTGTTAATATCTCAGAAATTCCTGAAAAGACAGTATTTTACACATTTTTTTACAAAGACACTTGGCTTTGGTAACCCAATGGTTTCTTATGTCGATATTCCCCTCCCATATTCACCATTCTATCTTTCTCTCACAGAAAACGCCTGCTCTTTGCCACGACATTCCGGCTCAGCGTGTGCTAACTCTCGTCCGGCCATTACTCGTTATTACTTTGATGTGTCGACTGGTTCTTGCCGATCGTTTCAGTTTAGGTATGCGTTATTCGTTCCGTTTGTTTTGTTTTCTTCTATTCTGAGTCATACCTCTTTGTAACCAAGGATTTTCAGTCAGTGTGGAGGTAATGCTAACAATTTCAACAGTCTTGAAGAATGTGAAGGGTTCTGTCTGGACACTCAATGTCAACATGGACAGGTAAAACTTGTTAACTCAATCCGATTGAGGAATCTACTAACTTAAACGCAGTGTGTACGGTTCTCGATTACTGGGAGCGGGCGCTTGCCGCCAACGCCATTGGTGGGAGGGCTGTGTGGGGTATGACCAAACGCCCTCTCTCAACCCTTCCACCAACGCTGGCAACAACCGCCCGCCTCCATGGGGCGCGTAGAGACAGGCCCGGCCTCCAGCAATCGTGCCCAGTGCCTTCAAGGCAACAGTCCACTATTATCGTGTGAGGCAGTTGAGCACTGCGTCTTTGCTATTAGTGCGCCTCTGTCTCCCAAACCTTACACCGCCGAGAAAGGCGCGGTGGTTGACTGACTCCGTCCAGATCAGAGTGCACTATGCCTTTAACGTACACAAAAATTAAAATCATTATAATACTTTCCAGCGACAGTAGGATAAAATCTACAGTATTCTTCAAAAACTACAAATTAATAAACTACACTTGTAGGCATATCGCGTTGGTGCCGTGAACGCTGTATGTGCTCTTACAGCTACGAATACATGCCCTCAGTCGCACTCATGTATGAGTCCAGTATTCGGGCCATCTGCAGTATGCTGCCCAAATCCTGGTGAGTTTTACTTCACAGCAGTCATATTCTTTTAGTGTGGTGACATAAGCGCAAGGGTGGCATATATCCACGTTAGACGTTTCTTCCGCGCTCGTCATAAAGGCAGAGTCATAGGGACCCGCCCATGGACCCCTATTTTGAGAAGGCAAAGGCCCGAAGGGAAGCACAATGGGTCGATGATATTGCGGGTCAGAGCAGAATAAAGTGTGCCTTCAAGAGCCAGGAGATATCCTTCAGCTGACGACGCCTGAACCCCAAAAAAGGGATCCCATACAAGGGAGGGAGAAGGGACAAAAAACAATGTGAGTCTTGCTTTACCCTTGATAAACGAGTAAAGCGGTGAGTTTTGGCTCTAAGCCAGCGCGATTGTGGACACTAAAGATTTTTGTGTAGTAGCTCTCATGTGGAGAGAAGGTAAAGAAGCAAGCTGGGCTCCCTCCATCAATTATGGGCGCCACATGGGGCTAGAGGAGCGGACACGGATATCTGGGGGCGGACGGTTACCGTCAACGTCAACGTTGGTGGAAGGGCTGCGAGAGGGATTGGCTACACCTTCTTCAGTCTTTCCACCAATGACGTCCTGCCCACTACAGTCTGGGTACCTACTATTGATTATCCCACGTAGCCTAACAATCACACCCTGTGCACACTTCCTGCACGCGTCAGACATCCTGGACTTCAGAGCTGTGATAGCCAACGCAAGTGTTCTCACATATTACCACAACAGAGCAATAAGTTAGCAACTAAGAATTTTTCATTTTTCAGAGCTAACCTGCAATGAAATGGTCTCTGCTGGAACACCCTGTTTTGGCCGATCTGTCACTATTCAGCGATTTTACTTCAACCCATCGACCAGGTACTACTATACTTTGACACCATTTCTTTGAGAGGGGTTTATAGAGGGTAATATCACTTTTCAGGAAATGTCAAGCCTTCCAGTACTACGGTTGTAACGGCAATGGAAACAACTTCCACAGCATGCAAAGTTGCCAAGACCACTGCTTGAACTCCGCAGAAAGCGGTAAGGCCTTTTAAATATTGCGTCTCCTTTTTAGTGATTCGCCACCCAAAGTAGTGCTAAGTTTTCCGTCAAAGTTTT